ATGACTAAGAAGTCTTACTAGATAAATAGTAATTTTATTCCTTAAAGATTTACTTGGATTTATTTATTGTTTATCGCAGATTTTACAAGTAGAAGAAAGTATGTCCATGGGAAAAAAAATTCTTATCTGAGTTATTCATTTATTTTTTTTTTCTCCAACAAGCTTCGAAGAGAGAGCAGTTTGGTTGCTACCAAAGACATCTTGATCTCTAGCCTCTTGAACTATGCCCTCAAATGCACTACTCAGTGGAGTTAATCATTTCCGTCAGCTTTAGCCCAAAATACCCAGCGAGAACAAAACAAAACAAAAATGCTATGAAAGCTTCTGAAGACTTCAGTCAGTTTGGTGAGCTGACCCCAAGGAAGACAAACCGGGATGGTAGGATCGGAGTTGGGGAATCCTATTTTGTTTTGTTTTGTTGGTTTGTTTGTGAATGTGCGAGAGAATTGCCATTCAGTCTTCCTCGCTGTTGCCACGGAGACGGCTTGAGGACACACACAGAGCAACCTGTAGACCCACTTGATACGGTGATATGGCGTCGACGGTAAACAGCAAGGACACTCCAAAAAGCAAGCGTGTTTTTTTTTTCTTCTTCTTTTTTTGTCTTTAGTGTGTGCCGGCTGAACGATAATATTTTCGATAAAGAAAAGAAAGAGAATAAGAAAAAGAAAAACAGCTTTAATAAAAAGAAGAAAAGCGAAGAAAAAAGATAGAAAGACGTAAGAGGTAAGAGAAAAATTAGGAAGCTGAACGAATTTTTTAAAATCATTTCACCCCAAGCAAGGAGATAATACTACTAAGATACAAGTGGTTACTATGAGTGGAAGAGAATCAGAAGACTTTGCTGTGGAGAAAGGACAATTAAAAAAAAAAAAAAAAACAGGTTTTAGAAAGACAGAATATTTCAATTGAAGTTGCGTTTAAATTTTTGAAGACTGTAGGTGACAGAAAAGCAAGAAATTGGAAGAGAGTTCCACGGGCGAGAAGTGCGAGAAAAGAAACTATTAGAATAGAACTTACGGTTATTTGAGCTATTTTAACAGTAAAATGATGACCTACTTGCCAATCTAGTAATACGCTTAAATTCATACGGCCATGAAAATATTTATAGAAAAGACAGAGGTAAGGCACCTCATGGTGGTGGGAAAATGACTGGAGACGAAATGCCAGGTCAGGATTGATAACATTGCAGATCCTTCTTTGTTATAATAAAAAGGTGGCATAAAGTTAAAAATAATTGAAAGTGTTATCAAAAGAAAGAAAAAACGAATAAGGAATACACGATTTTTATAAGCAATTCGTTTATAGGAAACTGTATTCAAATTTGACTAAATTTTAAACAACTCCACTATTGACGTCAACATTGATTGATTATTTGTTTACGGCTTATCAACCCTTTGTGGGTTATTTAAAGCTGAAACATATTTTGGATTGCGTGAATGTTTTTTTGGAGATAACAATGATTTTCCAGATACAAGTTCTACTATTTAATCCATAACTGGGGCAAGAGATGGTTTCATACCTTTCTTAATGGTATTTGCACATAAGTAAATGTAATGAAGTTGATTGAAATACGAATTCGGAACCGCTATTCACCGCATCACCAGCACATCCACAGTGGCTTAAGCAAATAATAAAAAAAAAGAATGAAAGAAAAAATGTAGAATTAAGCAAAAATATTTACTAAATACATTATTTGATACTGTATTCAATAATTCTACCAATTCTACTGGTTTAGTCACCTCTTACGCGAACGAAGAATGCGCTTTGCGCGACACTGTTGGCGAGCAAAACAAGAACACACGAGTGATCTACTGATCTGCACACCTAGCCATGGAGCAAGACGGGTTGGTCTCCCGATAACCACCGACATTGGCCAATTATGTTATGACAGAGAATGCCACCCTAATAACCTTCCGACCTTGATGTAGGACCGTGATAGCGTGATAGACTCGTGAATGTCCGAGTTAGCTTGGCCGAATAAATATAGTCTCCTTTTAATATATTTCTTTTTTTTATTTATTAAAACTTCAGAGATATTTAAGTAACTTGAGATAGAAATTCGTGCACAAGATTTAAGTATCCCGGTGTATTGGTCAATACACAAGGTCGTTCATAAATATAAACCCTGTAAAGAGAAAAAGAAGAAAACCAAATGAAGGAAAACCAAGAGAAAGAGAAGGAAAGACAATTAGCATAAAACCATAAGAAAAAAAGACAATCTGAATAGGAAGTAACGTAACATAAAGCCTTTTAAAATATGAAGTTAACTGTAATATAATTTTCCCGCTTGCTACGACAACTTCCTATGCTTTTACTTTGTGTCGTTGTTTTTCTTTCTGTTCCACTTATTTTTTTTTCTAGATTAAAAGCTGTCTTGAGAGCGGTCTTCCAGGACCGATGGAATTTTTCATTTGCACATAATTAAGTCATGGATGATTAACTAGCATTCTATATATCACATACATATTTCAAAGAATTTACACAATCCACTTGCATTCATCAGTTAAAGCTAACAATAGATGTAGTAGTTTTAATCGTGGAATTTTAATTATTTGGCCAGACTCTTCTTTCTCTCTCTCTCTCTCTCTCTCTCTCTCTCTCTCTCTCTCTCTCACGCACACATTATGACTGACCAGGGAGACTTTATCGTGCTCAACAAACTGAACCTGTAGATAACTGATAGTAAGTTTGACTCTCACTATGTGGCCCGAATATAGTAACATCAGCGGCGTACCAGTGACAAGATTATAATTAAGATGTTTTCTAATGGGAGAGTAAAAAGCGATTCAGGGTTTGTTTTTTGTTTTTTTTTTTTTGGGGGGGGTTCAAATAAATTTATGTTAAAGTGATGTAAGCACTTTCGAAAGTAATTCGAATTCCGCTTGTAAGTGTGCTTATCAAAATCGAATGTGTCGCGGAAGATGTTTTCTTTTATATATATATATATATATATATATGTGTGTGTGTGTGTGTGTGTGTGTGTGTGTGTGCGCACGCGCGTGTCTGTGTGTGTATGAGTGTGTGTGTGCGTTAGATTGATCAGAGCAGTACTGAAAGATAACGAAGTGTTTCTAATTATAATGCTCGATATGAAGAGATAGAACCTTAATAATAATAAATAAAAATAATTATTCACTTATCCTGTCTACTCTGAGTCTCGCGGACATTACATTAACTCTTCAGGAAATGAAGAAGGCCGGAACGTACAACAGCCGAAACATCGTGAATATGACAACAAAGATGAGGACAACAGTCCGAACAATGTAAATAATGTATAAGGGAGATTATGTGCAAAAATATTATTTGTTGTATAAAATAGATAAATTTTTCTATCATTAGTTTACGGATTGATTGATGTACCTACGTATATAACAATATACATCATCTCTGCTGCCTACCGGAAGATGATATTAGGTTTCTTCCAGTTATTATCTTTCTTCAAATGTTTGATCCAATCAGTCGCCAAAATCACGCTGAACCACCTTGCATTCATATAAACAAGTAAATCTTAGACATTTTTATAACCTCCTTAAGTATTTCAATACTTCCTGGTATTTTAGAAACCAAGGAAATTCCAAATATAGTAAGGCTCGTCACGCAAGTTAACACTCTATCCAAACTGTATCCTGGTTGAATCGTCTAGCGGTTATTACTAAACTGATAATTAAATACTTTATAATTTAATATTAATCTGATAATTAAATATTTAAATACACAGTTATCTGCACTTGTCCGGTGACAAATTATCACAAGCGGGAAAATAAAGCCAGCCACACTTAGTTCCTGATCGGCAGGCAAGAGAAAGTAATGTCTCTCATTGCTTGAGTGATACTGTCTTCACATGGCTATCTGTACATTATGGCATTAAAGTAAGATGCTTTTACTTACCTTTGGCAGTATTTCTCATTGTTTATTAATCCTAGTGTATGATAACTTATTTGGCAACATGGACAACTTATTTTTTTAATATCTGCTACTAACATTTGATCTCGTGTTTGTATATTTGTATATAAATGCTGTATTGCACACATAACATGGAATCTTCTTGTCTTTTCATACCATTTTGTTTCAATGTTAATTCAGCTTAGTTAAATTTTTTGAGTGGAATATAGTTTTTTTCCCCCTCGTCAGTCATTACAACTTTTTTCTGTAATGCCTAATTACTTAAAAAAAGTAACTAAGTACTAAAAACAAAGCAATTAGAATTTCCACCCAAGAATCAAGTTACTTAAAAATCACTATAATATTTATGTGACTTAGGCTGCAAAAGACATGTGTTGAATTTTGGTTCTCATCCAAAAATTTGATACCGGTAACGATTAATATGACGTCAAAAATTTACTCTTTTCAGAGAAACCTTTTTCTTTCTGCTTTCACATTAAAATGCTTTTATGGCAAAGTCCACCATCAGTCATGAATTCATCATAGGTAAATAGCAGGGCAGGCTGGGTTCTATGGCCTTGTTTGGCAACCGGTCTAGGAGAAAGTAACTCTGAATTCAAAACTGTATATAGCCATGGCGTAGCACATACAATACAGCTAAATGAAACATTGTTCGCATTGGTTCGATGATTCCGACTACGGTCGAATAATAATGATGATGATATTCGACAAAGCAAAAGACGATAGATACTACCATTTTTTTTTTTGCAGGTACGAACATACAAGAAAGCCGAATTTCTTTTAAATTCCCCTTCACGCAAAGAATAATTTTTTTCTGTAAATTTCGTTTTCCTTGGGATGATAAACCTTTCGGCCATCTAGTACATTGGGGTAGGCTAGACTTCACAGCCAGTGCGATGATGGCATTGCACCGCTGGGTAGAGAGCTTCATCGGCCGGAGCGATGCACCCTCAACCGTTACGTGTTCGTGACCAAGGCGAGCCTTCAAGTTGAAGGATATCGGCTGTTATCTGTCCTAGACAAGAATAGGCACCGCCAGATTTACTTGCCCAAGACACGCTACGCATGAGTGAATACATCCCCAGCTTTGGGATTATGGCCACAACAAGTTGAAAGCAGCGACTCCCGTACGATCACCGAAGTTAAGCAACGTCGAGCCTGGTCAATGCCTAGATGGGTGACCGCTTGGGCATACTAGGTGCAGTAAGCTTGGATGAACGGCTGGTGTAATGGATAATTTCTCAGAATTGTTAATCGGACAGCTGAGATCCAATTGTTGTTGTGTTCGTTACATTCACTTACTCTTTGAAAAAGTAGGAGTCCACCTCTTCTCCCCCCAGCTATGGGTTAATTAGTAAGACTTGTATCATTAAGCCATTATTATCTGCAAAACAATTCTTACAATCTAAAAAAGTCTTTAAATGGGGTTGATAACCCGTAGAAAATAAATCAATCAACCAATCTCCAGCTTTAAACCTAAATATGTGAGGGGAGGAAAATCATCAAGTGTTAAGCTGCTCGGTGACCCTACGACCATACCTGGTCATCGGACTGACGATGATGATGAAACGTTGAAAACTGTTCTAGTTCTAATTACGATAGTTTACACTTTAGATTCTCGGAATAAATCCCCTTTTCATAGCCAGGGACGATTCTCTAAGTATTCTTTAAAGTTATGTTTTTTCTGTGACAAGAGGAGGAACATATTTAAACACTGGTGGATATGCGTTTATTTCAAACCCGTTATTCAAAACAACAGAAACATGATTCTACCGAAAGATGCTGAGAATACGATGAACTGAACATGTGATCAACGATGAAGTTTTAGAGAAACAAAAACTTATACTTAACATTACGAAGAGATAGTTGAAATTTCTAGGGAACATAATGAAAAAAGTGGGGCTTGGAAAATTTGATACTTACAGGACAGATTGATGGTAAGAGAGACAGAGGAAAAACATTAACCTACCTGGTGAGCTTCAGTGAATGGATGACGGAGCAAGGATTGAGAGAGATAACCAAAAGAAAAAAGCTACAAAGAACCAGACATTATGAAAATCCTTGATCGCCAACGTCCTGAAAGGAAACGGCACATAGAAGAAGAACATTTACATAAGTCTTTTAAATGAGATATGTAAATGCTATATAGTCGATTGATTTTACAAGCAATACCAAGCTGAGTAAATTTCCAGGACACTTCTGAGATTTCCCTAACATTATTCAAAAGAATAAACTAGGAACCTTTGCAGTATCTTGAATGCTGACAGGCTGAACAACATTATTCCTGCTAAAAATATCCTTTTTGTTTTATTTCTCATTGAATGCTTTATGGATGAGAATTTAAATATTTATTTATTTGCATTTATAAATTCATCAGGGTGTGGAGTACTATATTATTACCACATATTTGAAAATCCAACATGTGACCAGATTCATACTACTATTGTAAGTAATTTATTCAATATGGCAGCTACGAAGCATTTCATATATTGTTAGTGTGAATGATAACAGCGGAGCGTACACCGGTGGACGAATATATAACAACCACATTCATTCATGTCTGGACAAGTATTTAGATGAATCATTCTGAATTTCTTTTAAAATATATATATATATTAATAAGAAACGATATATGAATAAGCATAAAAAAGAAAGAAATATGCCGTCAATTTATAATATGACTGATGCAACCATTTACAACACTTTCGAGCTTTGACAGTTCAAAAGAGTTTACGCGGCCTTCTGGGAGATTAATTATTTTCACAAATGGCGAAGCTCGGGCTGTTGCTTTAGATATCTCCAAGGCGTTTGGCGTGATTTGGCATGCTGGTCACAAATTGAAGGGCTGTGGTCTTTCTGGACAGTTTTAAGGAATATTGTATTTTTATACTTCTGAACATCCACTATTTTTCTATATGTTATTATTTTTGATAAAACAAACCCATCTCTTTCTTTACAGATTGTATACCTGAGAGGGTTGAAGAACAGATCGGCCGAAATATTTTGGTAACAACGAACGCAGCACAAAGAATGCAGGCAATATTGCGAACAACACTTGAAGTGATAATGACACGTCTATGATAATACCTGCCTCTTCCATCAATTTTCTCACTCTCCAGCATTATTTCCTGTTTGTTTTTTTTTTTGGGGGGGGGGGGGGTCGAACATCACCTGCGATAGGGAACATCGCATTTGTTTGTTCTTATGGACTTCTCCCTTTGTTTCCACTTCTGATAAACTCTATTTTTCTTTACAAATTGTATACCTTAGCAGGCTGAAGAACGAATAGGCCGAAATATTCCAAACTACACTCTAAATGATAATGATTCTTCTGGACACTGATAGAATGATTGGAATGTCAATACCATTAACTGTTTACACACTGTTAGTTCTCCACTATTATTTGTTCTTACGACTTGATAGCACTGGTATCCTTCCTTCAAGTTTATACGTTACAAACGAACTATTAGAAAGCTTACAAAATTTGTTTAGCTTCTATCATTAAATGCCATTAAGATTGTTTCGTTTTGACTTATGCTCTGTATATCTTCGGGGCGTGTGCAACCATGGTTACAGTCCTGGGTATGACGATAAACTACATCCGGCAGCAAGGCCTCTGGTCACCGCCTCTAGTAATCATGTCCACACAAACATGTATATACACAAAAGCTTAGTATTATCTACCATGTATTCAATTGTGGAAGCAGAATAACATTTATTTTTATTACTTCAAAGCTCGCAAGAAAATTAAATTTCGGCATTAAATGACCCATTATGCCGTTAAACAAACAAAACAAACTAACTTAAGTTTTCTGTTGATCCAGATAATTTCTGCTCCTTCACCATACCCTCTTTATACCTGTTTCTCCATCCATTCACACAAACTCGTCAGTTTGCCACACTTCTCATATTCAATATGTCCTCTGAGTGTCAAATTCTCTAGGCTCTCTTTCCTCGCTATCATGCAACATGCCTCTTTTTCTAACCTCTGCTATTGCAATTTGGAATATTTAAAAACATAAACAGTATAAAACTGAATAACGTCGGCTTGGATATGTATCTATCTATATACATGCCAACAATTAAAAAAAAATTAAATTCAAAGCTAATCGTCCCTGAATCTGCAACGTTTATCGGTGAAAAATTTTAACCAAAGTTTGTTGCATTTTCTTTCACTGGTGATACATATGAGACTGCAAACGATTATCAACCCGAAACTGTCGCTTCCATTACCAAAACGCGTAAGGTAGAAGTGCTTTTGTACCTGTTGTCATTTCATTTACTCATATTTATACATATTGGCGCCTTATTGACTATGTTATCACCAAGAAGAGAGATTTATGGGACATCAATATCGCACGTTATTTTCATACCCCCGGCTGAATTTCTGACCATGGTTGCCGTCGCAGTAAGGCTTCTTTCCGGATTGCTCACAGGAGACTGCAGAAAACATCTGAGGCGAAGTGGATGAGTATCCTTGGTTTTAAAATCACCAGAAAAAAAAACAAAGTGAGCGCTGTAGCAAGCTGGGCACTGATGCCAATGCCCTCAAGATTACTAAGGATATCGAATTATCAGGAAAATACTTTGAATACAGCACAGTGCATGCTGCGACATAGGAGGTGCTCGAACTGCTGGTTCGGAAATACCAGGACAACACTGAAGTTCAGGTATTCATATATATATATATATATATATATATATATATATATATATATATATATATATATATATATATATCCTTGTCTGTCATATTCAAGAAAAGAGTTTACAAGAAAGGTTACTGCCCAAATATTATATATATATATATATATATATATATATATATATATATATATATATATATATATATATATATATATATATGTAAACAAATATATGGATATAGATCCGACAGTATGAAGAAAAATATACTGAAAAAACAAACAAAAATCCAAAAACAATACCAATCCAAACAGATAACTGAAATCTTTTATAAGATCAGCGTTCCGTTTAAATATGATCACGTCAGTTATCTGTTTGGATTGGTATTGCTTTTATGTCCATCGTCTTTTTCATGTTGAATTGTATATGGTCTATGTTAATTATGTTTTATGAATATGTCCTGAAGATGGGCTATTAGACGTTGACATTAAACATTAAAACAGCATAATCGCATATTAGGTTTTTTGTTTGTTTTTTCAGTATATTTTTCTTCATATATATATATATATATATATATATATATATATATATATATTATGTGTGTGTATATATATGTTTAAAGACATTTCAACGAAAGTGTATCTGTACATATGCGTTTGTGTATTGTGATTATTCAGCCCAAGGTCGCAACATTGCAACACCCACTGAAAATCCCACTTGGCACACTGACGTGCGCGTTTAAAAAAAAAAGCTTTTATAAAAGTAATTTATAAAAACTTTTTTATTTATTGTGTAATTTGCATATAATACAGACAATAAATCTCCACAAATATTGTAATTCCACCGACAAAACCTCCAGTGGATGATAACCTTGCTATCAAGCATGTTTTCGAGGGCAACGCCTCTTTACTTATGGCTCCCCAACAATACCTCACAATACTAACAGACGTTGATCTGGTTTTCCGCCACAGCTTTGAAAAACCAGATCAAACCAATGCAGACATTGAAGCATCTTCGTATATTTTCTCTTTTCTGTTGAGGACAACCCAAATTTAGTCAAATATGACGACGTTGAGATGGCAATAAAATAGGTTCCGACATGAGATCGCTGGAAAATGAGCATAGCAGGATAATAACGAAAAGAATTTTTTATCGTCAAAATGTTTATGTTTTTATTAAGAAAAAAGAACAAAGTAATTTTTGATTATTTTTTTTACATTTTTTAATAATTTCTAGAACGTTCAAAATTTTCGTTAAAAATCTTGTATTTTTTTATCAGCAAAATTGACAGAAAATCGATCGTCTGCCATTTTTTTAACTTTTGTTTACAAAAGTGAAAGTCTCCGTTTAAAATTCGTTTAACAAATCAATTATGATTTTTTTTAAATTAATTTAAGAAAATTAGAAATTATAAAGTTTATTTAATGTATTTTGAAACAAATATTATTTTCTGCTCATTTTTTTTAGTTGACACCTTAAAATCAGCTCTGAATTGTAACATACAAAACTCAATAAAACAAAGATATTATTTAATTTCAAAAAGATTTTCGAAAATTTTGAACGTGCTAGAAATTATTAAAAAATGTAAAAAAATAATCAAAAAATACTTTGATCTTTCCTCTTGATAATAACATAAACATTTAGACGATAAAAAATTATTTTCATCAAGTTTAAGGTCGTTATTACCCTGCTATGCTCATTTTCCAGTGATCGCATGTAGGTACCTACAATAAAAGATATGCATTCGACTTCGATAGGAAATTTATTAGTCGTCCAGCCACTTCTTATGCATGCTCTCGGTATATGTAAATTCTTACAAACGAGAGAGAACGAGAGAAAAAGAGAAAAATAGAGACAAAAATGACCTGTAAGTAATCTATATTCGACTGACAAAAATCATTGATGATGTTGTTAACATTCCTATCGTTATACACATTATCATCCTAATAATTAAGAATGTGCCTGTGGTATAATTGATAGCCGCTCGGAAGGAGAAATAGGAGAGCCGAGTTCGAATTCCAGTCCGGTTCGTTACATTAAATTATGCGCAAATAACCTTAGAAAAGTTAAGAATCCATCTCCCCCAAGTATGGGTTAAATTATAAGAGATAAGGGTTAATAATTACCTCCCAGATTTTATGCGCAAATAACGTTGGAAAAGTTAAGAACGCATCCCCCAATATGGGTTAAATAGTAGGAGTTAAATGTTGATAATTATCTCCCAGATTCCACGACCGCTCATAAGGACACGAACTCGTATCTCTTAACAAGAGACAATGTTTCCTTTAGTTGAATATACTTACATAAAATATATTAACTCTATCCCATAATATTTGTTAAATTTACATACACATTTCATATACTAAATGTAACAACTATTATGGATGGATGCGCTTCATTTTGGTGTAATGGTCAACGAGCTGGATTTGTAGATAATTAGTAATGAGTTCGATCCTTACTAAGTGCCGCATACGTGTGGTATTGGGACAAAACTAATCGATCCCGAATTAATAAAGATTATGTGATAGAAATATTATTATCTTCGATATTACTGTTTGTTTATATTTGCACCTACTTCATTTATTTTACCAGGTCCTTTATATGCGATCATGGCTCTCCACTATTTCGTATTGCTCTAAGTAACCCCAGCTCGTTTATTACCCTTTGTCTTTCTAGTATTTATTCTGCCATCCGTTTACTCAGGTTCGTCAAGTAGGTTATTTGCTATCTTTTTCTGCTTCTATTTTCTTCAATATGCTCTGTGAATATTAAATTATCCTAGCCTTCTTTCCTCTTTATTCTTCCCCCAAATTTAGGCCTTCAATTTCTGATTGTTGGAAGCAGTTTATTTGTATCTCATTCTCATTCTGTCTATAGTATTCTCAGCAATCATCGGTTGAACCACACATTTTTCGCTTCGCTTCAAGTCTTTTTGTTATCTATGAAGAAATTGTCTAAATTCCAGTGCCGCACAAAAGATTAGATATTACATTGCAGTTCAGTACCGTAGTTTCTTGTGTATGATACGACTTAAGTGCAATACGACCTCGTATTTCTGAAGTTAAAAACAGGAAATAGAATCCACCCTTGAGTATAATGCAATAACGTAATACAGCCATTCCTAAATATTTTTTAATGTTGTATCCTATTATCCATTTAAAATCTCAATTCCGTACATATAGTATTTCACAAAAATATTTAAAGAAGAAGAAGAAGAAAAAGAAGAAGGTAATCTTACGATCTTTTTTATATATTGCTCAGATTTGGAAAGACATCTTTCGCCATTCCTGTGCACCTTCGGATTTGTATTTGACGCTTTCCGTCGTCTGTTACTATATTACACAGGTAGATAAATTTCTGCACCTACTGGAATTTGACATCCTCGTTATGTAACTCGCCACTTGGGCTGTCTCTTTTGCTGACAACCATTTATTCTGTCTTCTTGGAGTTAATGGCTAGTTCTTTCTTCTTGCTCTCTTCGACTACCTTACCCAATAGCTCTTTTAGTTTTCCTTCTGAATCAACCATTAGTACAGTATCATAGATGTCGTATATTTTTCTGTGGTTATATCCAAAGATAATAACTACTGATACGTTTTCTAGTCATCTTAGAAACGTCTTTTAAATCAATCCAATGAGAAAAATATACTCGTCGTGTTTCTCTTTTGTATTTTTATGTATTCACGAAATACAGGTTTACGGCCACATCACGTCGAAATAAGCAACGTTGAGCCTGGACAATATCAGATGGGTGATCGTTTGGAAAAACCAGATGCTGTAAGACTGAACATGTGAGTGATTTAATGGATAATGGCGCACAATTGGAAATCGGAGAGCCGAGTTCCAATTGCCGTTGGATTCGATATATTCACTTACGCGCAAATATCCCTGAGAAAGGTATGAATCTTCTCCCCTCAGCTATAGGTTAATTAATAAGACGTATCACTAAACCATTATTCTCAAAAATATTTTCTGGCTTTAAGTAACTTGCAAAGGGTTGATAAGCCGTAGAAAATGAATGAATCAATCACTAAACGCGCTTTCTATCCGTATTCGAACTGTTTGTCCCCAGTAGCGGTTACGGATTACTCGAAGATCTTTTCTATGTAGACTAAGATTTCCTAATATCTCCTCGTCGTATCTTGTCAAATAACTTTGTGTGACCAATGAAGCATTATTCTGCTCGCTATGATAGCATTATGATATAAAATTGTTCCTGTACTTTGATAAAAATAAATAAACAGTTGCATTGGAGAAACTTATCTTGTTATAATGGCTAGTAAAAGTGGTCGCCCAGATCATTTCTACCAAGTAATGGATTCGATCCTCATTTAGTACCCTATGCTTATGGCCTTGTGTCAAGACTGAATTGAATATCAATGAACAGCTGGAATCGGAAAAAGTAAAGTCAGGTGTGCTATTCTAACATTTTTTTTTTGTTCTTCTGTGGTATGAAAGATTCTGTGGCGTATCATGGTGAATCTATCGGTTAATTTGAGCACCACCGATATTATTCTCTCCTTCCCCACCTCCCCCGCCTCCTTCTCTCTCTCTCTCTTTATCTCTATTTCTTTCTCTCTCTCCCTCTCTCTATTTCTTTCACTCTCTCTTTCTCTCCAACATTCATGCAATATAACATCGTAGAATGAGGAAACCACGTAGGCAAGTAAATGAACAGGTACATTAATTCGATGGGTTAATGGTACACTTATAAAAGTGAAATCAAAAGAATGATCGATCTAATCTCGTTCCCTTTAAAAGAAAGAAAGAACGTAAGAACGAAGAAAGAAGCAATGAACAAAGAAAGAAAGAAAGAAAGAAAGAACGAATGGACAAAGAAAGAATGTAAGAAAGAAAGAAGAAAGGAAGAACGAAGAAAAGAAAGAAAGAAAGAAAGAAAGAAAGAAAGAAAGAAAGAATGGACAAAGAAAGAATGGACAAAGAAAGAATGTAAGAAAGAAAGAAGAAAGGAAGAACGAAGAAAAGAAAGAAAGAAAGAAAGAAAGAAAGAAAGAAAGAAAGAAAGAAAGAAAGAAAGAAAGAATGGACAAAGAAAGAATGTAAGAAAGAAAGAAAGAAAGAAAGAAAGAAAGAAAGAAAGAAAGAAAGAAAGAATGGACAAAGAAAGAATGTAAGAAAGAAAGAAGAAAGGAAGAACGAAGAAAAGAAAGAAAAACGAACTACGAAAAGAAAAATCGTAAAAAAGAACGAAGACAGAAAGAAATAAAGAAAGAAGGAACGAAGAAAAGAAAGAACGAAAAAAGAAAGAACGTAAAAAAGAACGAACAGAGAAAAAAAGACAGAAAGAAAGAAAAAAAGAAAGAAAGAAGAAAACAGAAAATGATCTAAGCCAAATTTCATCTGATTGGTGGTTCAGGCCCATTCTTGAGTGAAATGTTATCTATCTATTACCATCTACGATAGTGGCATACTTATTGAAGGTATAAAGTATTTTTTTCTATTCTTTTTTGTGTGTGTGGGGGGGCTGTTAGTTTCAATAGGAAAGTAAATATATACAACAGGATGCGTGAGACCCACCAGAGAGTATTGTGAAAAATGCGCCCGCTTCACTTTCCCCCGCTTTCTTTTTCTTTCTCTCGCTTTCTTTATTTCTCTCTCACTCTCCTTGTCTTTTGCAATTCCCTTTCTTACACTTTCCACCTTTCTCTCATCTCCCATCACTCATCATGTTTTTCCCTTCTCTATCATACAAATGTCTGAGAAACCAGCATTGTTACGATAAGAAAGCGTTTGAAACGATTCTTTTTAAATGATCGGTAAACACAAACAAAATCAAATCGAATCATCAAGACGGAAAGGTGGTTATTTTTTTTTCATATTTTTATGCTGTTATATAAATACATATATATTCTAACAGTTAATTTTCCTACAGTGGGGACGCAGGCTTGAGCCCTTATCTCGAATACACAGGCCGCCAGACGTACTGTTAAAAACTGAAATATCTACACGTGAATCTATAACGTTTAAAATAATAATGTATATATATATATATATATATATATATATATATATATATATATATATATATATATATATAGATATATATATAGGCAGCAGTCCCTCTTTTATACATGTTTCATAAAAGACGACAGACAAGGTACTGCGATTAAACCTTTTATCTAATTTTTCTTGTGTTCGAACAAGTGTTTTCTTTTCTGAACACAGTGTGTGTAGAAACTGCCCAAATGATCTATAACACTAGATACTTACACACAACCTATGCATCCAGTTAAAAAGTAAAAATAAAATCATCCTTGATAGTGGTTAAATGTATAGCCGAAAGCGCTTGAATTACAGAACATTTGAACAGTCTCTACAGACACTGTGTCCAGAAAAGAAAACACTTGTTCGAACACAAGAAAAATTAGATAAAAAGCTCAATCGCAATACCTTGTCTGTCGTCTTTAATGAAACTTATATATGAAAATTTCTCAGAGTTAACCTGTAGAAAAGACAACATTTATAAACATAAATGACAGTAGGAAAACTGTAGTTATTACTGACGCGTTTTGTCCAATGTGGTCTTGGACGAATCGCGTCAGCAATAACTACAGTTTTCCTATTGTCATTTATGTTTATAAATACACACACACACACACACACATATATATATATATATATATAAATGAATGAATGAATGAATGAATGAATGAATACAAAAGGAAAATTATCTAAGACCAACGCGTTTCATCCTCTGACGGACTTTATCAAAGCAAATGATAAGGTCGCTCAGAGGACGAAATACGTCGGCTAAGATAAGTTTCCCTTTTGTCTCTATTTATATTGTCCTATCTCAAATTTTCACACACACACACACACACACACACACACACACACACATATATATATATATATATATATATATATATATATATATATATATATGTGTGTGTGTGTGTGTGTGTTAGTGAAAGTTTGTCACTTAGCTGATTGATGTTACCTACAACACCCCGACTCCAGAGTTATTGTAGGTGGACCACTCTTCGGATGGTATCAGCAATTTACAGCTCATATTTTTTCGATATTTTTTTTCTTTTATGTACATTGGGCATGAGATTTTTTTCTATATTCTGTGTTCGGGTGTGCGTTTGTGCGCGTGCGACCATGCACCCGGTTCGCTTGTGTACACCCGTCTTCGTGGATGAGCGTACGCGTAGGGAGTCGTAATCATTTTGCTTTTTTTCTTCCTTTTTTTTTTTTTTTTTTTTTTTTTTTTCACTTTACACTCGCTCATTTAGCATTCTCTCTTTTTTTCCTTTTCTCTGTTTTCTGTTGCTGATTTTGTCTAGGTTTATTACGGCTCTAGACATGTGACCGATTTTTATTTATGGGTCTTTTTTTTTGTTGCTTTTTTTTTTTTTTTTTCTTTCTTGTACTAGGGAACCGTGGAGTAATGGATAGCGGCTCGGATTGACGAATCCGAGTTCGAATTCCAGTCAAATCCATTGCATTCACTTACGTGCTAATACCCTTGGAAAAGGTCTTCTTCTACCCCCACCACCAACTATGGGTAAATAGCAGGACAGACCGGGTTCTATAGCCTTGGATGGTAACTGGTCTACCGCAGAAAGAAATGGCAACCTACTGCGGGAAAAAATCTGCCTCGTCAGTCATACATCGAAAGATACATGATCGTCTAAGCGTGTATCATGTATGGCACATAACTGACTGAATGTTTAAGATATAAATACAGGGTGTCCCAGTATAAATAAACGTATGTAATTCTGTTGATTTTTAGTATTTTGATTTTATATTTCAGATTTAGAAAGCTGAGAAGATAGCAAAAGCAGAACACCAACAACAGTGCCTTCTACAGAAGAACAGAAAATGTTCTGTGTGCTAAGAAAATTGGTGAGAAATTCCTATAAACATGTCAATCCGCAGAAAATAGGACAAGGATAAAACTTCTTGCAAAAATGACATTTTCCGGTGGATCAAAACGTTTAAATCAACAAGGACAATCAACAATATGAGAAAAAAAAGTTCGCAGAAAACCTACTTTAAGGTTTCCAGAAAACATGGCAGCTCTCCGAGATTCTGTAGACAAGAATCCGAAAAATAGAAGCTGCCAGTACCTTGGCATCACCAAAATTCTCTCTTCAACGTATTCTGATCAAAGATCTTCATCTTTACCCTTATAGAATACAAGTAAAACAAAAACTGACCGCTGCTGATAAGGAAAAGAGTAGAAATGTGCAAGTGGTTCTCAGACAAGATTGGAGACGAGCCAGGTTTACTTGATAATGTATGGTTCACAGATGAAGCGCATCTTCTACTCTCAGGCAAAGATTGATTATAGTAAGAACAATATATTCTTGTATTCGGAACCCCCAAATGAGGCTCTAGAAAGACCCTGCCATTCACTGAAATACACTACTTGGGCAGCTATATCAAAGCATGGCATTATTGGACCCTTCTGATTCGAAGACACACAAAAGAAGCCGTTGACCGTTACGATGGAATTCTATTTGATGCTTCTGAACAAATTCTGGCATGGACTTGGGCTCATGAGTCGTGGCAGAGGTGCAACTAGGGTTCATAGGGTGGGGTGAGGAGCACCAGTGGTACCAGCAAGATGGGGCCATACATCGTACAGCAAATGTGTATCTGGAGTGGCTAGACCAGAAGTTTCCCAACCGGCTCATCAGCCGTAAACGCGAACCTGAGTGGTCTCCGCATTCCCCCGATCTCAACCGCCAGATTTTTATCAATGGGTGTATCTGAAGTATCGAGTCTACAGGAACAACCCCCACACCATTTCAGAATTAAAGGCAGCAATCAGTCAAGAAATCAGAGCTATACCAAAAGAGGAGTGCATCAAAGTCATCGACGACTTCGCCGTAGTATTCAAGTGTCTTCAGCAGAACGGAATACGTTTGGAGCATATTCTATAAATGACGATAAAATCTTTGCCAGTATAGCTAGTGACATACTGTTTGTAGTAGTAGATTTGGTAACTTCTCTAGTTTTCAGAAAATAAATGGCATTCACATTCTTGGGTTACATTTATTCTGGGACACCCTGTATTTTATATATATATATATATATATATATATATATATATATATATATATATATATATATATATTTATTTAAAAAAATATGATTCCAACACGCTACATAAGAGTTCTCAATGAATCATATTTTAAATAAATAATTATATTTATGCTCTACTTTTGTATCGAGCACTATTTTTAAAAATAATAACAAAAATTCTAAAGAACTTTGGATTATTTACCTAACGAGTTCTTTCCTATTTTCTATATATTTTCACACACACACACACATATATATATATATATATATATATATATATATGTGTGTGTGTGTGTGTGTGTTGGACTCTCCGTCGTACTCGACGTATGAAGGCCAAGCAGCTCAGTTCCTAGGTACCGACACCCAGATTAACCGGCACGTAGGATTTGATTATAGTGATGAAGGATTTGTGCAGAACCAACCACACGTTTTGAAGGGCTGAATACAGAAACCTGGTGCACTGCGTCTGTCCTGCTATTTACCCATAGCTGGAAGATGAGAAGATGAGGATTAATACCTTTCCCAAGAGTATTAGCAGCGTAAGTGAATGTAATGGATTCGAGTTGAATTCGAACTCAACTCTCCGATTCCTCAATCCGTGCCGCTACTTACTACTCCAATAAATAAACATATATATATATATATATATATATATATATATATATATATATATATATATATATATATATATATATATATATATATATATATATATATATATATATATATATATATATATATATATATATATATATATATATATATATATATATATATAATGATAGTAATGCTTAAAATTGTAAATATTTATATACTTATATATACACATGCACATATGTGGTAGATACTTATATATAAACATGCACATATATATATATATAAACACACACATACACCCATGTACATGCATGCACACATACACACATATTTATATATCTTCACTGGTTCATAATTTCGTTCTCTTATTTGATTTGGTTGTATCATAAGTATTAATTGTAGGAGTTTAGATTTATAATTAAATTTATTTATTATTGTTAGAGTTTATGTGCATTTGTCTTTATACGCTTATCTATACACACACGTACACATCTATTCACTCATGTATATGAGTATACGTACGGTAAGAATATAGTTTCTAGGTAAAAGTTGTCAATATCACGGGAAAGCGTATATAAATATATAAGTGTTCACTGAGGTCAACACTGAGCGACGACAGTCAGTTTCACGCACGCACGCGCGCGCGCGCGAGCGTGTGTGTGTGTGTGTGTGTGTTATCCTGTCGACTGATCCGTGGAGTATCAGAC